AAAAGTTTTGTCTCTATGACTTGCCTAGAAAAGTTGAATAAAAGAAAGTTTTTAGGACCTTTTCTGACTGGAGCATTTTATGAGCACGATGCCTTGAAAGTCTGTCCATGTTGTAGCATTCATCAAAGTGCCTTCTGGTTTTTAAGGCTATTGCATCTGGATGCCATAGTTTATGTATCTGTTAGTGAACTCTTGGGCTGCTCCTGTAGGCAGTTTGGAATGATGCTGCCTTAAACGTGAGTGTGTAAATATCAGTTTACATCCCTGTGCTAAAATCCTTGTGGTATACTCCCAGAAGTGACACTACTTGACCATATTTGAGTCCTTGAGCTGTTTTCCAGCATCTATGTTCTCATGAATAACATTTTCTATTCTTAGAACAAAGATCACACTATTTATAAATAGATCTCAAGCTACATATACATTTTCTGGAGTCTCAGTCTTAACATTGACTTAATCTGTCTCTCCAGGTGTTTCTTACTGCTAGTTTGGCAAGAAAGAATTCTATAACTAAAAGAATCACATGCTACTATAAACTACATCCTGCCTTAAAGAGTCAAAGTACATAGTTACATCAAAATTTTGTTATATGCATGTTTTTAAATGCATGATTTAAAATCTAAAAACCTGTCACTTCGTTATCCCTAAAGAAAAAGCTAAGATAGGAAATCATTTCCATTTAGCATTCAGGGCCTGTTTGAGATTAGCATTATATGCAGAGCTTTGATTTTCTAAGACCAAAGAAGCATAAAAAGCAGGGAGGAAAAACATGTCAGTACATATTCTACATAAATTTGCATAATTCAAGCCAATTCGTGAAAGCATATTGCAGGAGAGGGGACTGCTAATGGAGATGTTTTCTCCGGAGGATTTAAAAACATATTCTAAGGTTGGATTATAATGTGTATTGAGTTGTATACTTTGATTAGTTTTATTCTGTGCAAATTATGTCTTTTCAAGCTGTCCAAAGTTATTATAATGTAAAGTTTTGACTCATGTGGTTTATTCTCAGTCAAAACAAGCAAATTCCTTGCTATGCTTTACACTTTAGGCCTAGATGAAAATATGTTGTTCAGGAAATGGTGTTGGAAATGTGCAGTTGTATCGCTACCTCACTGCTTCTAATTAGAAAAAGCTTAGGGGACCAAATTTTTTGTATGTGATAAAATGAGATGTGAGAATAGAAATCAACATAAAATTACTTTTGGTATCATGGAGTGGGAAAAGTTTTCTAAACATAATAAATCAGACTTTAGAAAATGTTTTAATGATAAAAAAATACTTTAATGTATGTTAAAGAGTAAAATTAGAAGCTGAAGAGGTATCTCAGTGTTTAAGAAACTTCCTGATCTTTCAGAGGACCTGGGTTTGGTTTACAGCACCCATGTTAAGCTCACAACTGCCTATAAATCTGGCTCCAGGGATCCAGATTTATCATCTAGCCTTTTCAGGCTCTTGCAGTCAGACGTGTGCACTTGCACATAGACACATGTAATTAAAAATAAAATAAGAAGAAACCCTAGAAAAATATTCCCTGTATTTGTCATGATGCCTGTGAGACCAGTAAATATAAATGTTCATTATAGTAGCAATTGTGATAACAAAGGAATGAAACTTCCCCCAAGTGTTCATTGGTGGGACACTAGTTAATGCAACACATGCATATGACAGACATCCAAAAGTTCCTGAAAAAAAGTGATTCAGGTGCCTCTATGTGAAGAGATGTCAATACAGGTAGATACACTGGGCCCTCTATCTAGAGGTTCCAAATGACTGCATCCAATGAATAACAGATTAGCAGTAAGTAATGGTTGTTTAGTAACTATCTATTACATATGTGCAGACTTTTTCTTACTATGCTGCGAACAGTACAACTCACATTATGTTAGATACTATAAATAATCTAGAGGTAAGTAACTCAAAGTATATAGGATAATGTACATAGGTCATATGCAAACACAACACAACTTGAGCCTCTTTAGATCTTGGTACCTATGGTGGAGTGATGTTCTTGGGACAAATTCCCCAAAGCATGATGCTTGTTAGCAAAATGAGAATGCTGTATACATAAAGCTAAGCTGGGGAAGGACTCACAGCTAGTGAGCAACAGGACTCACCTCTGAGAAAGAAACCAGTATTTAGGAGAGAGAAAAACAACACTATATTTACTTATAACTTTGCACCCCTTTCCTTTCCATTTTTGAAAATATATTAGCTATGTATGCAAAAGTAGCTCAATATATTTAAGCACTGTAGGCTACATAAACTAAACCACCGAAGTTCTTAATATGTAATCTTAAACACTGCAAGAAGAACCCATGGTTGCAGGGAAAACCTCTCAACCTTCTTTGTCTTATAATAGTCTCATCATTTCTCATTAGGTTGACTTTTTTTTTCACCACAGAACTTACATCTCATCTTCTAAAAAGTCTTTTCTACCAACTTGGAGGTTTGTGTTAAATGCTGTTCTAGACAATTGGATCCATCAACAAATGAGAGAAAGATCCCTGCCCTTGTGGAGTTTGGATGCTATGGGTCCTATCCAAAAAAAAAAAATGCATGTCATAAAATAAAGATGGGAATAATCTAGTGAATTGAGATGATAATGCAAGGGAAGGAAGAAAAATAGAGCAGGAAGAAGAGGGTGGGGATAAACAATACAGTTCCCAGTATTAAATAAGATGACTATGGTTGGACTGTACAAGATGGCAAGTGAGAAAGTCCTCAAGAAAGAGGTGAGGAGTTAAGCCACATGACCATACTGGTGCAGGAATTTTACCCAGAAGAAGGAAACCACAAGGATCCTAGGACAAGTTGTACCAGATGCCTTTGAGGAACACCAAGGAATTCATTACAGCTAGAACTAGGACAGAGCATATTTATATAGGATGTACTTATAGAGTCTTAACCATATTCATATGGGATGTTGACTGGTATGCTCTTGGCAGGCAGCTATAGATGTTGAGAGTTTGTGGGAGCAGCTTTCCTGCCTTGTCCAGCAGGAAGGAACTCTTTTGCAGTAGTCCTCTGCCTCTTATCGGCTTTTTGGTCCCTCTTCCATGAAGTTCCCTGAAGAGCTCATATTGCTTTCAGAACCACAGGGTTTGTCAGAAAATGCCTTAGTCCCATTTGAACACTAGGATCAGTGGTTTGAGGGTTAGCATTTGCCCTGTTCAGGGTAAAATTTAACATAATGGTTCCAATGTTAGACATTTGCTCCCACTATGATGTTTGTGAGAGGCAATGTGAGCCTTAAAGAGCAGGCCCCAGAGCAAAATCACAAAATAGACACTCTGCATAGTTCTAGTTTCCTGTGTGCCTATATCTCCCACCTTGATATCGTACACCCGGCGTGATGCAGCCAAGAAGGCCTTTTGGAGAGCCTGGGCCATGTGGCATTTTCAGTCCCCAGATTTTCAGCCTCCAGACTGCTAACTAAATAAAGCTGTGTCCTTTGTGAACCTCTTGCCTCAGGTACTTCATTACAGTAGCAGAACTCAGAATGATATAATATTGTATGGCAGGTCCAATACATAGAACATGACGAAAGTGAGAGAGTCTGGTAACACTGAATACATGGTTTTAGCTTTTTGTGTGTGTGTGTGATAAGATTTCTAAGACTTAAAATTTTTCTAAAATCTCACGTACATTCCTGACCTATGGAAAATTTTTGGGTATAATTCCAAGATGTTACAATCTTTCCACAAGCACCACAAAAAGTGGTATGGTGTGTGGTGTGCCTTCAAATTTTCTGGGGTGGCTGTCAAAACTAACATGTGATCACGCTTCCCTTGCTTTATTATTATTCCCCTTAAGAGACTGGTGTCCAGATGAAGCACTATGAAGATTCTATATGAAACCACAGGTCCAGCTATCCAAAAGCTCATTTACACAACCCACAGAAGCACCCGTGTGCTTTCTCCCATTGAAGAAACTGCTCATCCCTAAGTATGACATAGCCTGAAAATTCAGGTTTCCCAAGCTTATGCTGCCTTCATGCCAGGATATCCTGCTAATATATCATTTACTGCTCTCTGCATCTAAGCCTTGTGGAATAAGAAGCCAAGTCCTATTGGGTTAGAGTCAAAGAGACCACCTGTATCTGCTTCATATGGCACACACGGCACTGTGCATGGTTTAAGTCACACAGTTCTTTAATTGACCCCCAGTGCTAACAGCTAAATGGGGCACAGAGGCATTATAGCCTGCAGAATTTAAATTAAAGTTTCAGACTCCCCCAGGATAGGCACAGTACTTCAATTAACACTAATTGGCATTACCCATGATTAACAAGTGAAAAACATGGGTTTTCTGAAAATGTGTCTTTTCTCCCATGAATTCTGAGAAATGGATGGATGCCTACAAGGAAGAGGGGGAGGAGACACAGTGTGTGTTACATTGGCACAACTCGGAAAACAACTTCCACACATACAAGAGAAGAGGGAGAAAGATGGTAATTAATGTTACAGATAATTGGTCCTGTAAGAGCTTAAATCAATGTTAAGTGAAAAGACAAAATTCTAAGTCACAGGATTGGCACAACATCACCTTTCTCCACAACACAGACACATACAAGAAGACTGAAAATAAGTATATAGTAACCTATCGAGGGCAATTAATTATCCCTGCATAGTGGCAACTGTGCTGGTATTTATCTAAGTCATTTTAATATGTCGTTTTCCTTTTATAATAAATTAGTCTTGCAAGGAGGAAAGTATGTTTTGCTAAAACCATCCATTCTTTCAGAATAAATGCAGCCAAGAAATGTGTTTAAAATGTTTTCACCCTTCATCAACATCAGTCCATGTGTAAGGCACTGAGGATGCTGTCAACAGCAGATTGATGGCTTCTTAAATCAAAAGAGAAAACGGGGTTCTAAATGTGAGGAAAAGCAAATGATGGAGGAGGCTGCGCACAAGCCCTTTCTTCTGCTCACCCTAATTCCCTCAGGCCAAAGCCCTTCCCTAGAGAGCGCACTGATGTCTTCACTTCTCTTCTAGAGCCCAAGATGATTGTCCTGCTCTACGTGACAAGTCTTGCCATCTGCGCAAGTGGACAACCTCGGGGCAATCAGGCTAAGGGAGAGAGCTACTCTCCAAGGTACATCTGCAGCATCCCTGGTTTACCTGGGCCCCCAGGTCCTCCAGGAGCAAATGGTTCCCCTGGGCCTCATGGTCGCATTGGCCTTCCTGGAAGGGATGGTAGAGATGGCAGAAAAGGAGAGAAGGGGGAAAAGGGCACTGCAGGTAAGGAATCACCGTGAGGCTCTGCAAACACCCTCCTCCGCCCTCCCTAAACCACTCCCTTTACTGCTCCTTCAATCACTTCTCCACGTTACCTTCATTAAAAATAACAACTCACTCTACTGTGACTATGCTTTCAAACTCTTTCCAGCCTTAGTTGGCTGCAATCATGACTTTCTCGGGTGGACATTTGTGACATTGGAAAAGTAAGAAAACTGGTCCTCATTAAGGGCACTGTGGGAGATGAGCACAGATGGGCAGGTACTGTGCATGACTGCTGGAGGTGGACTCCCAACAACTGATGACTGAACCCACTGGACTACAGCTAGATGGGTGGAAGCTTAGGTAGACAAACGGATGGGAGAGAACAGGGAAAGAATTGGCATGCAGAAACTCAGTTGCCACCCTGCTCAGAGCTAATTTTCCACACAAATATTCCTCAAGGGCTTCTAGATTTTTCCATGTATACAACTAGGATAATAGTGTCATATAGATGGCCTTTCCTCTCTTAGCACTCTCCCAGCTGTCCTGAAACACCTGCCATGTAGACTTTACATAGTTCTGGGAGACAATACAATTGTCCTCTAGTCCTTCACTGGTTTTCAGGCTCTTCCCACTGCAGATAGGTTAGCCTGGGAAGCTTGCCAGAGTCCACAGTCCTTCAGAGGAAGCCAAATTGAAATTCTCCTGAAGTTATGTGAACTCTACAAGAGGAAAGGATTTGGAATCAATCTTTGGAAAAAAGCTTCTGAGTGTATAAGTGAAAAGATAAGAAGAGAAAAATGCATAGATCTAAAAAATATTCCTCTCTCCAATCACCACACCTGATTTACTGGGGGTTCTGTGAGACAGTACCACAGTACATATCTAGATTATTGGCTAATGCATCATTTACAAATACTTCATGTAGAAAATATTGGGCAAATCAATAGCTGTCAGATGTATGAGAGTTCAATATTAAAGAACATTACATAAAGATTCAATGTCAAATAAGCAACCTTGAATTTGGAGCTTAAACATAGTTATTCAAAGGTGTCTCTCTATAAGATAGCTCATGTGGAATAAAATTATGACTGTGCCATGAATTTGAATATCCTTAAATTTCTATGACACACAAATTATAGTTCTACACACTGACCCTTTCATCGTGCTGTGTCTGGAAGGAAGAATGTAGTGGCTAATCACACAAGCAGAAAAACAGATTCAAATCTTGGCTCTTTCAGCCAAGACTTAATATCCCTGGGCAGATAGCCTCTGTGAGCTTCATTTGTAAACTGGCAGTAGTAAGGAAAATTGTGAAATTTAAGGGTAGTTATATATGCAGAATGCCCCAAACAATAATTGCCATGTGCTAAGTACTTGGAAATGTTAGATATTGTTCATTATTAAATTTTGATCTGCCATAACTGTAGTATTCAGTAAAATAATGCTACAAATGAAACTATTGAGATTCAAAAACAAAGTGACTTTTCCAATCCAAGGTTACATCGATTCAACAGCCACACTGAAGGCTATACACATCTCAGAAAGGAAAGATAGGCCTGACTGGTTGTGAAAAGACACACAAATCACTCAGAAAGGAAAGATAGGCCTGACTGGTTGTGAAAAGACACACACATCACTCAGAAACCATGTTTGTAATATGGCTGCAGACGAGTCCAAGACTGGGACGTTCTGCTCACTCCTTCCTCTCCAGTGACAGCACAAGGTCTTTTTGTTTGTGCTCCCTTCTTAGATACCAGATTGCCTTCATTCCAACCAAGTCCTAAGTCCAGGCAGAACAAATAGTGTTCTTTTTCCAGCTTCCCTACTCTAAATTAGAAATAAAGAGATTATTACACGAAATCATAAATCCTTTGCAAAAACACATCTCACTGGTCTTTAACAATTATCATAATATAGCATTCAATCTGAGAGCATGCTCATTCAATATCGCTAGAATTATCTCACAAAGCATTCTCCTTTTTTGGTTGTGAGACTGGCCTTTAACAGTTGAGCCATCTTTCAAGCCCTCATGAAACAGTCTTTACTCCAGTTTAGTATATGAATTATAATATACATAAGCTTATCATACTGAGCTCCTATCATGAGGCTTATATATAATGAATGGTCAGTCAATATTAAATGAAATAAACATAGTATATATGTTTGAATGGGTACATAGATTCATTGATGGAAGGAAGGAATAAAGGAAGGAAGGAAGGAAGGAAGGAAGGAAGGAAGGAAGGAAGGAAGGAAGGAAGGAAGTTTGTTAATGGATGATATATGAATGAATGGAAGTATAAAATGATTCTAAAGAGGAAATATAGGTAGACCCCTTTGAGAGAGAACTAAAACAAACAAACAAACCACTCTGTATAGATAAGCTTCAGTAATACCAAGTTTAATCCTTAATGCATAATGATTTACTCTCTTCTATTTTTCTTCTGAGTGTGTACTATTCTGATATATGGGAAAACTCTCCACATGAAAAGGAGGAATCCCTCTGTATTATTACTACATTTACTCCATGATTAAGTGTACCCAGAAGTTGAGGGTTTTAAATGTGTATTGCAATAGACAATGTAAGCACTGAGGTTGCAAAATTTTCCTCGTATTTATAATTTCCATTTCATTACTTATGTTCAACAAATGTTCAACTTAAATTTCTCAGCTTAAGTTGTTCTCAACAAATTTTCATGGGGATGACCCTCAAGCAATCTACTTCAAACCATTTTTTTTCAATGATTGGGAAGCCTAAGTTAGGAGGATCTTACCCCTTCTTCAGATTCACTACCCTGTCCAGAGCTGGTGGATCACGACGAGTCATAGTGAACAGTGTTACCTACAAAGCTCAAAGGAGACTTAAATCCAATGTCTCTGTATTACAAATGGACCCCCTGAAGCCAGAGGATGAGTGACTAACCCAGAATCTTATAAGCAGTATGATTTGTGTTTGTAAGGAAACACTATGGTTAAAATTGTTACTGAGACAAGAATGGTTTTATTACTGTATTGAAGATCAATACAGAAAAGGCAGAAAAGATTAAACTACTATTGAAGCTAAAATACGAATTGCACACTTTGTAGTCTTTGATTCATCATCAGCGAAAGAAAGTTTATGTCATTTATACACCAATGATCAAGCGTTGAAAGTTAAGATTTTCATGACCTTGTCTCAAGAAATGTCTATGGTGTGTGTTCTGCTTGACCCAGTAGAATTTCAACTTAAAAGGACCAACTGCATTAAGGGGACACAACTGTTGTTGATAAAAACACTGATCTTGGCTCATAAACAACATTGACATTCATCACCAGTAACCTCCCTGCGTTGTAAATTGTTAAGCAGCCACTTTCACAAGGATTAAAGGACGTACTTGACATTTTAAGGGCAAAGCTTTAATTATTCTAAAATTTACATTACCAAGATATTTCCTTGTTAATTTTGCCTATTAACTGGAAAAAAGAATCAAGTTACCACATGTATGCATTGAAGTATGTACGGCACTCCAAGAATTGATAACAAAGCATTGCGAGATAAAAGGCTCAGCTGAATAAAAGTTACTGGGAAGAAAACTATGGCTACAAGTGAAACTATGCATTAACAATACATTTTCCCAGATGACAAAAAGTATAATAATAACAGGTAATAACAATTTGTATGCTTTGGGTGGAAATACTATTATCCAAGTACTGTTTATGACATGGATTCAGTCAAAAAATTAAAACCAATTGTTGTGTTAAAAAAAGAAAGAGTCAATTTTGCCGGTGATTTTTCAATCAGGATCATTATCTCTCTATATCTAGCCTCTAGCTAACCTGTGTATGTAAACACTTGAACATACAGAAATAATGCAGAACATACAGTGGCTTAGAATCCCTTGAAATTCTTTCACATTCATAGTTTTGACTATATATAAGGAGACCCAGAGAAATTAGGAGACAAATCTAAAGTGGCACATTCAGTGGCAGAGCCAACCATAAGGAAAGAGGCATTTAGACAGAAGGGAGAAAGAAATCATGAAGCTGGGAAAGCTTAGGATCATTCTAATTCTGATACACAGTCAAGTGCCTTCACTACCTTGGAACTCAGTTTTCCCCTCCAAGAGTAAGCCTAAAGCATAGTTATAGTAACATATGTAGCCCAATGTCCCAGGTGTACTTGCAGTTTTCAAGATCAACCCAACATATTCCCCTAGAAAATGAGGTGCCCAGATTCCAGAGTTGGGCAAATTTAGGTTGAGATAACAGCTCCATCACTCACTAGCTCTGTTCTCAGAAACAGAGTTAATAATTTTTGGTTTGTAAAATTGTTGTAAAATTTAAACAAGATAATGCATGCAAATAAAACATTTAATATTGGCCCTGGTAGAGTTGACAAAGAGCAGATCTGATTTTGATTAATTACTTTATTGTGAACCCTAACAGGAATAGAATGGGACAAAGACTAAGCTGTCTCCAAAGCATCATCTAGTTCTGTCTACCCTGGGACTCATTCTGTAGTCTTTCTGTAGTGACATGTACCAGAATATGACTAATATGCACCAGCTAATTTGTCTTCAAAAATACCTAATTAGTTTAATTAGTTGGGGTCTAATTAAGGTCTCCAATACTGGAGGAAATCTATGAGAATCTTTTTTTAATTTTCAGTTTTAGCATATCAATAATTTCCAAAAGATTTTAATTAGTAGGATGCTGTTGGTAGTTGACTGTTTTCAGACATGGTTAAGGTGTGTTAGCAATGGTAGGTATGTTGTTTGTGACTCTCTAGAAAAATTATTAATTTAGCTATTGATTATTTTTGAAGGTCTAAGAGGTAAGACTGGACCCCTGGGCCTTGCTGGTGAGAAAGGAGACCAAGGAGAGACTGGGAAGAAAGGACCTATAGGACCAGAGGGTGAGAAAGGAGAAGTTGGTCCAGCAGGGCCTCCTGGGCCAAAGGGAGACCGAGGAGATCAAGGGGACCCAGGACTGCCTGGAGTATGTAGATGCGGAAGCATTGTGCTCAAATCTGCCTTTTCAGTTGGTATCACAACCAGCTACCCAGAAGAAAGACTACCCATCATATTTAACAAAGTCCTCTTCAATGAGGGGGAGCACTACAACCCTGCAACGGGGAAGTTCATTTGTGCTTTCCCAGGGATCTATTATTTTTCTTACGATATCACGTTGGCCAATAAGCACCTAGCAATTGGGCTGGTGCACAATGGGCAGTACCGAATAAGGACCTTTGATGCCAACACGGGGAACCACGATGTGGCTTCGGGGTCCACAGTCATCTACCTGCAGCCAGAAGATGAGGTCTGGCTGGAGATCTTCTTCAATGACCAGAATGGCCTCTTCTCGGATCCAGGCTGGGCAGACAGCTTGTTCTCCGGGTTTCTCCTCTATGTTGATACAGATTACCTGGATTCTATATCAGAAGATGATGAGCTGTAATCCAGACTGCAGGCCTGAATATTGCAACATAAGTACCACAGTGGCTTACACTTGGATCTAATCTGGAGTGTTGGAAGGTGGAGCAAATGATACAGGGATTCAGAAAATGTTTTTGACAGATGGCTCTGGCAGAGTTATGAAACTAAGACAAAGCACCAACCAGTTGAAATCACAACAAAATGAATGGCATACAATGACCCCAGACATGGATCCCATGAAGTAATGATCCTAAATATTTAAGCAAATTAAAGATGATGTTAACAAATTTGAATGCCCTTGGCAATACAACCAGCTGGTAGTGACACTGCCTCATTAAATACTCATAAAACCCCAGTTTTGTTTGTTATTTAGGATAGTCATAACATTACAGTGAAATTCGTTGACAATTCTCAAGAGTCAAAAAAAAAAGTAAGAGATGCTAAGAATTTTCTAACAAATTAAAATAGAGAGATAAATTTCTTTTATTTATTCCTTTATGCTTATACATGTTCCAATAACTCTGTGTGTGTGTGTGTGTGTGTGTGTGTGTGTGTGTGTGTGTGTGTGTGT